CAGCAGCAGGATGCCCGGGCTCTTTCCAGTGTGAATCTGCCGCGGTCGCGCGTGTTTCCACGTGTGTCTTACCTTTACAGAGTTCACACACACACATACACACACGCACAATGGCCATACCTTCGCGCACGAACGTTTCTCGCCGCTCGCTGTAGAATCTGCGGCAGTGTCCATGCCGTGCACGCACACCTGTCCACCTTTGGGTCTTTCCTTCGTTTGATCACGGAACGTGTGTTCCATGCGGTCTCGCGTGTTACCGTGAGCTCGCTACGTTGCTCGAGCTTGCATCTCGAGCATTGGACGAGGACGTCGTTGCAGACACGAGCGGACACGAGCTGAGAAGGGCAGACAGAGATGGGAAAAGGGGGCGGCGGTGGCGACGACGACGACGACACGACGACGGCGGCGGCGGCCGCTGCGGTGATGGTAATGGTGATGGTGGTGGTGTGTTAGGAACGGGGACACGGGAGGGAAGAGTGGAATACGGCTCTCGGTGCGTGTGCGCGTGCATCAAGTATATTTATGTGCGGCACCGTCACGTGGGGAAGGATCGTAGATTGCGGCCTGAGACACGCCGGTGTTGGTGAATGAGGCTGACGTGGATAAATGGTGCGTTTCCCCGCGGGAGACGTATACCCGGTGATCTTCCGGGCTGTGGACTCGGTGTACAACGGGCGATCGGTGTGCCACGGGAACTTCAGGAAGCGAACCGCCTCGATGTTCGTCGCCGAGGACTCTCGATGGCCCTCACTGTGAATGCCAGCAACCTCCGCCACCGTCACACTGGTACCGCCTGGTCGCCGCCGGGAGGTTCGCTCGGTGCTTAGATTGAATTGTTAATAACGGGATAGCGGAGCTCGGTGATAACGTCTGAAAGCTCGTGGGAGACCGGGCTTCGAGATCACAGCAGTTTTAGGGTCGTCGTTCTTGCCGCAGCGTGAACGATGCCAAATCATTCTCATTGTGCGAACATCGTTGAACATCGATGCATCCCATTGAACAATAGCAACGTATGTAAAGTCATAGCAACGACTATGTTATGTTATCCGCGCGTCGATGAATTTTATCATTACATGAGATAATAAATGACTGACTGTTAAAATGCAAACAGCATATAAATGGTATATGTAATTGATAAAATATTCATGTTTCTATCTGAGCGATTATGTTATCTAATGTTACTCATACGTTAGAATATTAAAATATAGATGACAATCATACATATTTTTGCACCAAATCGATTTTTACCATTTTTATCAATTGCACGTACCATTTGTTTTACTAAAGTATATTAAAAATACATTTATATATTAAAATATATCCAAAACGATTACGTTATCGTTAAATGGACGTAACTTTCGTTTTATGCGCGTAATGATGGGAATATGTCTATGCTGATCTAATGTTGCTCATACGTTATAATATTAAAATATGGATGACAACCATACATATTTTTGCATCCAATACAGTCTTATTGTTTTTAAATTATAAATAAATAATTATTATTGCATTAAAATATATTAAAAATACGCTATTAAAATATATAATTATATAATAATACACTTATATATTAAAAATATATTTTACAAAGAATATTGAAATATTCCGTTCTAGTCACAAAACGGCATTAAAATGAGAAAAAAAAAAAAAGAAAGAAAAAAGAAAAAGGGGACACAACCTGCTTTTTCCTACGATCCTCTCAAGCAAGTCTTAAATCACAATTAAAAGCCCCCAATGCACCGAGGGAAGTGTGTTCCGATGCGTGGCACAACGCACACCGTTAAAACTGACAGAAGAAGAAGCCCCGGAGCGTCGAGTAGCTCGAGTTTCATTCAACTCGGCGCGGGTCGAGGCAGAACGCGGGAAGCTTTCACCGTGGCGGCGTTCGAAATCTAATTAATCCGTCCGGCATTCAGGCAACGGCCAGTCACTTCATAAACACGATCAGGCCCCGCGTGCAAGCTTGCGTGGGCAGTGAATCAGATCTGGCAAAGATAGCGATCATCCGTTTCGCGTTCGGGGCTTCTCTCGCTTTTGCGGATCCTGTTGAGTTCGCGTCTCATTGTTCCGGCGATACGCTGGCCTGTCAAGCGAAACGGAGTCCGCGATGCTTGGCAACGAACCCACACGGCCAAACGAACAAGAGAAGGAAAAAGGTGTAGTGGATGGAGTGGTGGAGGAGGAGGAGGAGGAGGAGGAGGACAGGTAGGAGGAATAAGAAAGCAAGGCAGGTCAGGCAAAGGCAGTGTAGGGTTATCTGATCGCGAGCGCGCGAATATCTTCTCGGCTTCCGGCGCCCAACCCGTGATTACCGCGTCGATTGTCTGCAAATGGAAGCTGAAAAAAATGCATCTCACACACTATAAGAAAAGCATAGTTCCCCTCGTGGCGAGAGCGAGCTGCGTGTTCGCGCCGGTGGTATCTCGCGTTAGCATCGTCCCACCTGCTTGGACGCGTTTAAGAATCGAGCATCGATGCGCGCCGCGTGTCTTCCTTTGAATTATTTCGATTCACTTCGTCGTCTCCTTTGCGCATTACGAAATTACGATT